GTATGTGCAACGTAATAATCTTATATACTTAACAACTTTATGGCTTTCCATTAATAAAAATTCAATAAAACAAAATTCTTTATTATATTAAAAGACAAAAAATTTTTTAAATATAAAAACTTTATATTACCAAAAAAATAAACAAAAAAAACATAAAACTCAAACGTATAACAACTTATTAAAAACATATAGAACAATGTCGGACACTTAACGTATAACAACTTATTAAAAACTTATAGAATAATATAGACTTAAATAAGACCATCCATCCATTAGTTTGAGAAACTTATTTCATAAAACAAGAAATATATTTCTTGTTTTAAGAAATAAATTGCAGGGTAAGAAATTTGTTTCTTAAGACAAGAAATGTATTTCTTGTTTTAAAATTCACAGCGAGTTTTTTTATCATTTTTCCATGCAGACGTTAAATTATTGTCTCTCTATTTTTAATCAGCCAAAAAACATGATATAAGTGCACTATTTCTTTTTAAGCTGATAATTTTGCACATTGCTTCTATTATATTATAACTTTTTCATTTGTGTGCTTTTTTGCAACCACTGATTTACTTTACAATTTGGGTTTGGAGACCTTGTACCAAAATTTAGTGAAAACTTTGGTTTCATTTTTTTCAGCATTTTGAATATCTGCGCAGCATCACTCAAGACCTGTGTTTCTAGAGATAAAGAAGTCGCTTAAAATAAAAAAGTCGCTTTACTTGTAGTGGTCTCCCCCCACCCCTTGGGGAGATAAATACAGTAAGAAAAAAAAAATTTATGTACATAAATTGCTTTAACAGCGATTCCTAACATAGATATGTGAACTAATTAATAACCAAACTGTTTCTTTCTGCAGCAGTTCAATAAGATTCGTGTATTTTAATTTATAGTTGAGAAAGTTTCAAATAAATTAAGAAAAAAAATTAGTCTTCTTTTTTGTAGAGAACCTTCTAGAGATTAATTAAAAAAGAAAAAACAAAACAGAAGTTGCCACCTGTGGTAAAGATATAAGTCTAACAAAAATAAATAAGAGTTTATGTAACTTTAAGATATATTACTACATATTAAAGAAAAACTAATGTTGTTTTTGTAGTGAAATGTATGTTAACAAAAAAAAAAAAAAAAGTTTGCAATCACATGTACAATTCAATCAGAATATCATATAACTATTACAAACCAAATCCTGAAGCTTAAATTTAACTGAAACTTAAATTTATCTGGATAAACTTTACTGGCGTTTTTATTAATATGGTTTTTTAGTGTGCAATAACAATGCCTTTTTTATAAATAAATTTTAACAATCTCCAGAAAGAAGTTCCTTTTAGTAATGAAACATACAAAGAAATTTTGTTTACAAAAGATCTAAAAAAAATGAGTATGTCATCATTAGTGTGGTGTTTGTAATGCATCTATATATATTACTTATATTCTAATAACTTAAAAAAAAAAACACTAAACAAACCTTCTTTGAACTTCCTCTAGCAATTTTTCTCTATCTTGGTTGTGAAAGTCATATATTGCTCTAAGGATCGGGTACGAATAATTCAGTGCTTCATGCATTGACTATATTATAAAGACTTAAAAATAACAAAAAAAAAAAAAAAAAAAAAAAAAAAAAAAAATTTAAATTTCATTTAGTCAGAAAGTCTAGGCAATAAATAAAGCAAAGTAAAAAAAAAAAAACTTTAAAAAATAAACATGTTCTATAGGTTTAGTTTATATAGTTCTATAGTTACAAAGTTAGGTTACTTAGTTTACTTTGATTATAAAGTTAGGTTACTTAGTTTATTTTGTTACTAAGGCTAATTTATTTTGCCTTGGTACTAAGTTAGGTTATTATACTAACTTATTTTATTGCTAATTAAAAAAAAAAAAATTAAACTGTTAAATTATACTGCTTTAGCTATTTTTCTGGATAGATCTACTTGAAACAAACTTTTTTCTATATTTTTATCTCAGTAGAATGAATTAAATCTTATTTATTTATTTCATTTAGCTCTCACACTAAAGTTTCTTTTGCTATTACTTTGTTATTTATTAGGTTTTATATTATTACTTAACTTATATACATAACTAAAAAAAAAAGTTAGTAGTCTTTTTGATTGTAGTGCAGATTTGTTAGTCCTTGGCCTTGCCTTAAGGCCAAAAATTAAAGCCTTGGCTTTGGTCTTGAAACTGTTGGCCTTGGCCTTAGCCTTGAAAATTTTGGCCTTGGCCTTGAATGCTTTGGCCTTAAAGAATTAAAAGTTTTCATTCTTTATTTTTATGTATTTTTGTTTTTGGCTTTCATATATATATATTTCATATACAAGTATATTTTTTTTTATTGACTTCATTGAATTCTGCACATAACTTTGGTTTATTTTTACAACATGTGGTTTTATTGTCACAGCAATTATTACCTACCGATTTGTAAATAATTGGCCTTAACATAAGGCAAAAATTTAAGTCTTTGGTCTTGAAAATGTTTGCGTAGACCTTGGCTTTGAAACTCTTATTCTTGGCTTTGACCTAAAAACTCTTGACTTTGTTCTTAAAACTCTTGGTCTTGTCTTGTAATTTTTAGCCTCGGTCTTGACCTTGGCATTGTAACATGTGTCCTTGGCCTTGCTACTTTTAGCCTTGTTAATAACTCTGCTGTAGTGGGATAACTGTGAAAATTCAACTGTTTCATATTGATTGACCATTTGTATCCAGGTAAAGTTTTGAGTTAAAAAAAATATATCTAAAAATTTAAGATAATAACAAACTAATGATTCTGGTTGCATCTCTACTTTCCACTTCAAAAACATTTGTTTAAACAAAAATCTCTAAAAAGGTTTCCTTCAGTTCATTTAAAAGTTTTAAAAACTGTTTATTGTAATTATTTAATAAAATGATATAAATTATTTTAAATAACTTGACTTTTCAGAGCATTGAGCATTTTTATATTGTTTTTAAAAACTTGCGTTATACATATTTTTTATATTTCTCATAATAAATATTATGTGTTAAAGATTTCCTAAAAAAAAAAACCTTTAAACAAAGTTTTGTATCTTCATCTAAATCATCCAAAGGAGAAGGTTGTGGTTTGGCACTATCAACAACATCCAGTTTTTCAACATTACTTGCATTTTCTGCATTTTTGTCTGAAACTTCATTGAATTTGTATAATTTCCAAGTCAAAACCTAAACAAACAAACAAAGACAAAAAAAAAAAAAAATTTGATTCCAATTCATTAACGTCAAATAAATAAATTAGCAATATTGAATAAAATTTATTTATTTGAATACAAAAATCATGAAAAGTCTATTAAATCAATCTGTTTTGATCTGTTTTTAACCATCTTATTTTGCCATAAACATAAAACTCAAAATCAGTAGCTTATCCAGTTTTTCAACATTACTAGCTTATTTGAAACTAACATTTTTATATAAAGATTTTTAGACATCAAATTGGCTAATCAAGATCACTGGTTCAAAATCAGATTTCACTCAAAATCAAAAACTTCAATCAAACTTCTTATTCTAAAGACCAAAAACAATGATCTTAACTCTTAACACAACTAATACAAGGTAATAACATTTTTTTGTTTTTTTTCAATTCTTACTACACTTTTACACTTATTTAGCAACATTAAAAACAAACATCAGACAAACTTCACAACATGTCCTGTTGTGTACAGATATTATAGATATACAGTCCTATTTGTTTTTAAGGAACATTTAATCATCTATGTTACAATAAATCCAATTTTTTTTTAATTTTATAAAAAAAAAACTATGAAAAATGTTTCGAAATTTACCTCGAGATCTCTTAGCAACCATTGTTTGTTAAATCCAGTTCCCTGACATGCAAGATTGACAATACAAGGAACAATTCCACTGTCAATAATCAGCATAATTGTTTCTTCATTTAATCCAGCATTAAGTGAGTTCAATACAGATTTGCAAACTAAACCTAATGCCCATTTACTTTCAACTGCCAATAAAGCTCCTAAATACAAAAACAAGTTTTAAGTAAATTTCTTAAAACCTTTATATATAGTTCACATCAAGTTATATAAGTTAAGTTATACTTATACATATATGTTATATATATGTTATATATATACATATATGTTTAATGCTTATTTTAAAGAACCAAATTATACTTGTTAAAACTTTGTAAAAAAAAACACAATGAAAAAAATAAAACAACAACAACAACAACAACAACAAAAAAACATGCCATAATTTGGTAGGCTTTCTTTAACATAAACTAAAAGAGATGTAAGTCGTTCGCTGTCAAGGATATGGGAAGTTCCTGTTTGAATTTCAATAACAGATTCTTTTGCCATAACAGTTTTCCGAGTTTTAAAATTTACAGTGCTTACCATCATCCTTTCAACCTGATATTCAACAATGCAGACATGCTTGACATCACTTCCTGGTTCTTTTAGAATAGCAAACGAGCCAATTCTGAATGTGTCTGGAAATCCAGCAACAAACATCAATGTAAACAATGCAATTAACGATGGTTTCTAAAATATACAAATTTAATGTAAATTATTAACAACAAAAAGATAAAATAAAATTTAAAATGTAATATAAACAACTAATTAAACTTATCTATTTGTATATATATATTAAAGAATCAAAAAGTTTATAGTTTATACAATAAAATTCAATATCTATAATTTTTACCTCTGAATTTTTACCCAATTCTGAAAGAATAGAATTAGCTTGCTTTGTTACTGCACTATTCCAAGCATGAATGGGTAACAAGTTACGCAAAACAGATTCAACTCCTGATGCTGCATCTAAATCTGCACTGTAGATAATGTAAATATATATATATATATATATATATATATATATATATATATATATATATATATATATATATATATATATACATAATTTCCTTCTTTAAAAAGATGTTGTTAAAAAAACATCTAAAAAAAAGCTTTTTTTCAATTTTTGTTTAAAAATTAGTTTTTTTTTACAACACATTTTAAAAAATTGATTTTTATTTAAAAGCTTTAAATTTTTTAAATTTTCTATGAAATTATGCTTTTATATATATATATATATATATATATATATATATATATATATATATATATATATATATATATATATATATATATATATATATATATATATATATATATATATATATATATATATATATATATATATATATATATATATATATGTATATATATATATATATATATATATATATATATATAAAAGCATAATTTCAACTTGTTTCTCCACACAGCGGCCTTGTTCGTCAAGGTTCGTGTTTCGGAGTTATAGAGTTGAGAGAGGGTTGTTACCACAAATAAGTAGCCTCGCCTGTAGTGGCCTTCTCGGCCTTGAGGAGGTGGATTAAAAAATATATATATATATAAAATTTTATTTCAGGTTTCGTTGTATAGAACGCTTCCTATTTAACAGAAATTAAAGTTTTCTCAAAGTTTAAATTTTGTTTACTTGAATAAATAACTTTACTTGAATAATAAAATTTTATTAAAAACATCTTAAGTAAAAATACATTTTTAATAAAATTTATTTTTACTTAAGATGTTTTTAATAAAAATTATTATGTATTTTTAAACTACTAAAGTAAAAAAAAATTTTTTATTTACTTATTATATATTTAATAATAAAGGTAAAGAATAAAAAACTGTAACAAAAAGTTTAATAAAAAAAGTAATAAGTAATGTTACTTTTTTAAACACTGGGCTCCAGTTTGAAACAACTGAGATATTGTAATCTCACCAGCTAAAGACGTTATTTCTAAGGATCTTGCTTTTGCAAGGCCAGCATCAATCACCTAAAGATTGTAGAGAAAAAAAATTGCATAATAAAGATTAATAAAATAACTTTTTCATTATGAAAAACAGTTTCATAAAATAAAGATAACATCTATACCTCGGGCTGAAAACATTTGAGTGTTTTTGTCAGAACACCAAGAGTAATAGTTCGTAATTTGATTCCAAAGCTCTGATTTTCAATTATATCAAATAAAATTGGAATAAGTTTGGTTGATACAAATGATGAAAAATGCACAAAGTAAGAATCCCCATACTAAAAAATTAAATTATAAAAATCATGAACAATATAAACACAAAATAAATTAAAAACAGTATAATTAAAAATATAAAATAGAATAATAGTCAAATAAAATACAAATGAAATCTTTATTCGTTAATTTTTTTTATCTGTAAGTTTTTTGTCTAGTTTTTATATGTAAAATATTCACAACTTTTCTATTTATATACAAATGGCTGGGGCAAGAAGAAGACATGATTGTCTTATTGCAAAACCCCTATATTTTTTATTTATTGAACACCTAAAAAATAAAAATATGATTTATAAAATATTAAATTATTAAGTAATACATTTACTTTAATATTAAAATTAAACAACTAAAAAATAAAAATAGTATTGTATATATCATCATATAGGTCATATATATCATATATATGTCAGATATAATCATAAATAGTATTGCATATAAAGATATAAATATAAAGCTGATGAATTTCTCAATTTTCGGAAACTTTTCTTGTTTGTTTTCTGTGTAATGACTGAAAAAATTGAAAAACAAATATATTGCAAAAATATATATTAAAATTTGTATTTACAAAAAGGTTTTGGAAATTCGAAAAAACAAAAAATTAAAAGTATTATTTAGAATTGTGGATATTTATTGTGGGTAATTATAGATACTCAAAAAAAGATAGGAGGGAAAAAAAGGAGAAGGTGGGGGATGAGGTAAGTGAATTCAGCCCCTACCCCCTCAGTGACCCCAGGGATCACTGCCCTTTAGAATATCTATACTAGCATATTACCATAATATAGATAATTATACTAGAGCATTTTTTTAAAACATCTTAAGATGCATTTTATGCATTTTTAGAAAAACGCAATTAAAAAAAAAAAATTAAGAAAACTCTTTAGAAAACGAGAAACTTTTTATAAAACGTTTTTTGAAACTTATAACTTATAAGATTTTTTTTTATATATATACTCCAAAAATATATATTTAATAACAGTTGTAGGCATCTAAATTAGCTTATTTTGTAAAAAAAACTCAACTTTGATTTTTTTTTAAGGCATTTTGAGAAAAAGCTGTGGTATAGTTAAAAATTATAAAAAAATTATCAAACAAAATTATAAAAAAATTAACTAACAAAATTATTTAAAAATTATTGAACAAAATAGACATTTTAAAATCTTACATTTTTGTTAATTGGTAAAACTGCACCTATCAAACACAACACTTTTTCGAATACACCCGGTTTACTGTTTTCATTGTTTTTAATATCTTCTGATACATTCGATACAGAAGCAGAAAAATCTTTTGATTGTACGTCATCTTCTGGTCTTAAAAATAAATGGGTGATGTCTACTATTTCATTGTCTTTTGGTAATTCTAAAATAGAGTTTATAGACTGTTCTGAAGAAGTATCTTCTGATTTTATATCAGTTGCTGATTTCATAAATAAACGGCTTATGTCATGCACAGGACGCTCATGCAAAGGTTCTGCTGAGCCTAAGTTGTCTATAGAAATTATAGGAGAAAACTGAGAGGAAAGACTTTCTTCCATACTTTCAGAACCTTTACTTTTGTTAAGTATATCCTCTTCATCTTCTTCTAGCGGAGGAGGAGGTTCATCAATAACACTTTTATGTATAGAGAAGTAAGATTCAGAGGAAGTTATTTTATACTCCACTTCATTATTTTCACTTTTTTCTGAGAGCATGGTGAGAGGAATGTTTGAGGACTGAGAGGAGCTAAAAGCATGAATAGTGTTTTTATCTGAATTTTGTGTAAACGAATTAGTTGTAACACTCATAACAATCTCTTCACTTTCAGATACTCCAAAAGATTCTGATTTTGCAAAACCTAGGGAAAAAAATCTGGTATTTAAAAAAATACAAAATTAACTGGTATTTAAAAATTGTCTTTTATCAACACGATGATAAAATGTTTTTCTCAAGTTAATAACAAGTATAGAATAACAAAGAAAACCTGGTGGTGATTTGATACAACCAACTAACTTTTGCAGACATGTGAAAAATAATGATATTGCATCGTTGATATAAACTGCTTCCACACCTTTGAAATTAAATTTATAAAAAAGTTGACTATAAAAAATAAATAATAAGAAATCCCACAATTTATGTTAAAAAAGGCTGAGTTTAAACATAAGTTTTTTCTGTTTTTTACTAGGCAGCCATTCATTTATGTATACACACATTGCATATGCTTTTTACTATTTGTACACAGCAGTTATTTTGCTGTCAGCAAAACAATATTTAAAATTAATTTTAGAAACTTTTTCCAAAATAGTATTTAATCGGCTATCAGTTAGAATTAGTTGCATTATATACATTTTTTATAGTTATTATTAATTAGTTATCATACATATTAGAATTGTTTTTGTTTTTTTTACAAAACTTTATTATCAGTCACATACCGAGGCACCTAAAACATAAAATACACATTTAAAACATAATTGCAACTAATTGTAGCTTTACTAAGAAGTGGAATATTTATACACTCATTTAATATATGATCTTACTGTCATCAAATAATACTTACTGTCAAGTAGCAAAGCCCTAGCACCATCTTCTTAATGATCTTACACTGTTAAGGAGCGCCATTAGAAAAACTCAAGTACCAGAAGCAATTAGTGAAAGTAAAAAACTTGGTCAACTAAAATTTTTCTTATCCATTAAAGGTCACACAACATTAACTGCTTAAAGATTATATAAAGCTCATTTAACTTTGAAGCAGCTATTTGCTTATATGTATGTTAATGATACCAAAACTCTCAGCATCGTAAGTACCCCCAAAAATATAAAGTTAAGTACAAGCTGATGTTGATTCCATCAAATCAGAACAGACCAAACTTGGGTAATGAAAATAAAAATTAAGAAATTCAAAGTCATACTCTTTAACCAACCACCTACCTTCAAAAACACTTACTCCATGACTGAGTACAATCAACAAGACTATGCTAAAAGAATTGAACTTGCTACCACAACCTCTGAAAAAGACTCTGGTATCCACATTTCTATTGATCTTAATTTAAAATCCTATCTCATATTGCAACCTCCAAAGCTGAGAAAATGCTTGGTATACTATAATATTTAAAGCAGAGATGCAAAATGTGGAAAAAGCCTTACATCACTTATGTAACCTCTTACCTTTAAATTTGCCTTCATCACATGGAACTCTTATCTCCATATAGATATCAATCTATTAGAATAAGTTCAGCATCATGCAACAAAAATATAAAATAGAGTTTATAGACTGTTCTTGAGTTAAAGAAAAAAATATTGGAAGATTTTAATATCAGCAACTGATATTAAATCTTCCAATTTAATATCAGTTGCTGATTTCATAAATAAACGACTTATGTCATATATAGGACACTAACGCAACAGTTCTGCTGAGCCTAAGTTGTCTATAAAAATTATAGGAGAAAACTGAGAGGACTTTCTTCAGTATTTTCAGAACCTTTACTTTTATTAAAATATATTATCTAAGAGCTAAAATCTTATAAAAATAAAATGAGGTGCGCTAAACTAGACCTTACTACCTTAAAAGAAAAACTCAACTGTGGTAATATGATCCAAAAATATAAATCAGACAATAATATTGATATCATGTACTGGTCCCACCGAATAGCATTTCTCCATAACATGACCATAACATATATAAGAAGAAAAAAAAGATAGTAATCTTGTCCAATGTAACTTCTTTAACAACGGCATTGCAACACAGTGCAATTCCCTACCTGACGATGTTGCCAACATCAAATCTGTTTTAAAATCTCCCTTAACAGTCATATTCTTTATGGTGCACCATCTACCATGACTGCCCGAGTGGTTAAACAAGTTAGTCTTGCTAATTGATGATATGTTCAAAAGAACAGGTCGATTCCATGTGAACCAATTTTTCATTTTTTTTTTTAAATATTTGTTTAATAAATATTGTATTAGTTTAATAGTTTAATATTTTAACTTAATTACACCTTGTATTTTTCTTTACAGAAAAGTAAAATACTGAAAACATAAATATAAAAACATAAATACTGAATAAACAAGCCTTACAAAAACTTTAACAACCTTGATAGTTTTGTGATTCAAAAAACATTTTTTTTTAAATCTCTTTTAATAATAGAAAAAAAGAATCAAAAAATTTTCTTGTTAAAAGATCTGAAAATTTTTTTTTAATGTTAAATCATCCCCCCCCCCCAAGGCCCAAAAGATTACTTTAGTCAAAGAGGCCTTAGTTGTGGTTACAAACCTCTCACAACTCTTTGACTCCAAAACATGAACCTCAACAAACAAAGCTGCTGCGCAGAGAAACAAGTTGAGCACAGTACTACCAGGAATGTGGTGGGGATTCAACTCAGAACCTCTAGCTTATGAGGAGAGTGCTCTACCACTACTAACACAATTAAATCTTATCAGTTATTATCAGTTATCTTAAACCACAGCTATCTTATGCATGCTGAATCAATGCAGGTTATACTTATTGCCAAAAACCAATTCCAGTATCTGCGTCAATACCAGGGAAAATTTTTTACTTTTTTTTCTACCTTGACTAATAAAATTTGTTAAACTTTTTATTTTTTGTTTGACTTTTTCTTAATCAGCTAGTAACTCTTATTTTTTTTATGTCTTTCACTAATATTCTTACTTTTATTCATTGTCTGTACTTAATTCTACTTTGTTCTTACTTCTACTTTGTTTTTTGCTTTAAATGTTAAATTAACTAATCCTGCCACAAGATTTTATTTTATAAGTCACTTGAAACAAAAAGGCAGTCCCCCCATTTTTACACTTTTCAGATTCTACTATATTTCCATGTTTATAAATGATATTTGGTTTCTCATTCTTTTTTTTTTTAATTAAACAAAAACTACACGTTATAACTTCATATTGAATATTGTTCTTATACATGTGGTGTATAAAATAATTAATATTCAGAAACTTAAAACAGCAAGTCACCTCATTTTACAGTATTTACAATTTCAAATTAGTATTTAAAACTTTTTTTTTGAAACATTTAAACAATACCTAAAAAAAATTTTTATCATTATTATCTCATTTAATAAGGATGGCAATATTCTATAAAAAGTAAATAAGATATTTATAGATAAGTTTAATAACCATGGGTTAAACTTTAACCACCTTGCTCACTCAACTAATATTTATGTTTAATATTCTTTGTATTTAAATGTTTTAATTTTTGTTTTTCTAACAAATTTTAGTAACTATAGTAACAACTTTTTTTCTTCTGATTCTTATTACTATTATTATTTATATTATTAATTGTTATCAATATAATTATTATCATTATAATTTTTGCAATGTATAATAAATGTAACATAATATATGCAAATAATGATATTTATAGTTTTTTAAAATTGTTAATGTCAAAAATATCTATTTTTTCACTTTTACTTATAATTGTTTAAACAATTGTAAAACACTTTTTATTACTTTTTTATTATTTAAAAAATTTTACTACTAAAATCATACAAAAGTATACCTTCCCATTTTCGCTTTTGTAAACACTCTGAAAGACTAATGGCTAAAGAAGAAAGCTGTATCCAAGATTGATGATGGATGTAGGCAGCCAATAAAACTGTTGTAAGACCTTTTGTTGGAAATAACCCTTAACAAAATATTTGTTGTTGATAAAATTAAATTTTAAACATTTTGAATAAATTTTTCATAAATGATATAAATTTATGAAAAATTTATTCAAAATGTTTAAAATTAAAATTGATATTTTTAATATGCTTAATTTGAATATAATTTTTTTTAAATTGCATGTGCTTGTTGTTAACAAAAGTGTATAGTTACCATAGTTACATCTAACCTCCATTTAATGCAATATACATATTAAAGTTTAAAAACAAACTAACATTAGTTATGTACTCTAGCTTGACACTAATATTAGTGTGGCTAGGCAACAGTTTACAACATTTTTCTCATCATTATTTTTTCAAAACCTGAAATGTTTTTATAACATGCTGACATATTATTGAGAAAATAATTTTAAATTACTTGATTACAGAAAATGATTTTAAATAACATTCATTATTTGAATTTAGACAAACTTTATTTGAATGAGATTTTAACAACATGAACCTAAGCAGAACATTAACATAATTTAAACAAAAATAAAATACTTCATTTGTTTAAACATTTTAACAATACTAAATATTTGTAGGTTTTTTTAACGGTATATCAAAAATTTTATTTGAAATTTTTTTTATTACTAAAATAGTATTTTAAATTTTGTATTTTACACTACCTCCAGGAGTAAGACGAGATATCGTTACTTTATGAGAACTTGTGTGACTATATAAAAAAAAAGTAAAATGTTATTTCAATTATTAAAAAAAAAAAAAACCTTAAAAATCTAAAAAATTAAAAAAATGTTTCCAAGTAAAACAAAAATAAAAAAAATGTACCCTTTAGGATACACTTCAGAACGGTAACATCCTAGGCATAAATCGAAATCTTTACAATCATTGCAATGTATTCTTGTTTCGATTATAAAGGCATTGCAGCTATTACAGGTAAACCTAATAATGTAAAAACAGTTCATCAGCTTTTTGTTTATCAACAAAATCTAAAAATTTTTAAATCTAACATCATTTTTGAAGACAACAACAAAACAATTACATCAGATCTACGATTTCATGCTGATCAAAATGATCTTGAACTTTTACGTTATTGGAGTAGCAATCTGCACACAAATCTAAATCAGTGCAAACAAGACAGCGATATCTAAGAAAATAAAAATTAAAAATTTAATAAAATTAAATTTAAAACTGTCATTCTTATATGCTATCATAAAAAATACATATATAAGTATTTATATATCTAATATAGTGTATATAGATATACATTTTCGGTACAGAAATGACAACTTTTTTATATACCGCTTGTTCAATAAAAGAAGGAAAAAATGAAATAAAAACCTATTACTGTCCCAACCCAAACCCTCAGTCAATGTAGCAGCAACTTCTTTGCAGGTTCTCCCTAAATCACGCTTCCTAACTCTGATTGCCAATCAACTTTTAATGTTATATATATATATATATATATATATATATATATATATATATATATATATATATATATACACATACACATAAATTAAAATAAAAAGTTCATAAACTTGTCATCTGGTCACATGACTGGGCAAGATCGCTTATTATGGGATTTCTGCCCTAAATGTTAAAACTTATAACTACTCTAAAGTAACAAAAAACAAAACTTGGTTGCTCTCTCTTACTTAAAGGTTTTTCAAAATATTTTTGTTTTTGAATTTTCTCAAAGAGTAAAAGCAATTTTTAATCACTTTTTTCTCTAAGCAGCACAACATATAACTTATCTTCTAAATCCTCACTTAAATTATTATCATCTCTTCTTTGTTCAAGATCTTCATTTGAATTGTTGTCAACTTTTACTTGTCTTAGGTCTCGTACATGTCAACACATTTTGTCCACTTGATTGAGAGTTGCATTGACTGTCCGGGGGTTTAACCCATACTTTATCACCAAGTTTGAATTTATTGGTTATCTTTTTATGAGGATCATTACATTACACAATCTTCCTTGTGTAAATAATAAAAACATTTTAAAAAAATCCCAAAAACTTTTAAATAAATTTACAAAGTTTTAACTTGAGTTACATAAATTCAAAATTAAAATTTTAACTAAGCATATAATATCTTAATAATTAGAGTCAAATAAAACAGATTATGCAATTATACTCACTTTAAAATTAATATTTTGCTTTTTTATCATATAACATTGGAAAGTACAATGACTTTCAGAACCATTAAAACAACATAAATAAAGTAACTTTATTATTGAAAATATAACTTTAATAAACTTTCATATGCCTTCTTCAAAACTCATCTATTGATGATTGACAAAAAAGAGATTGACTACTTTAACATTTTCTGCTGTGAAATATGTGAAATATAAAGAACTTTTAGAAAATCATCAGTTTCATTAACAAGATAAGCCTAACATTCAATCTCTTATACATGGGTCTGATCCTATTATTTCTCTCAAAGAAAAGACACCGCTTGTGCTTGTCTTGTTTTCTTGACTGAGTCTTGTTTTCCTGACTGTTGGAAAATGACTGTGGATTGTAGATTGGCTCTGATTGTTCTAACTATTGCCTGATCTGTTTTTTTTTTTTACTATTATTAGTAAGTCTTTGAAAAGTTACAAGCGCTATGCTTGAAATTTTTCACTTCACTTATTTGTTTTTCTAATTATAATAATTTAAAACTTTAAATTAGTTCAAAAACTTTGGCATATAAAATTCACCGAATGGTCACATAAGAGCAGTGAACGCCTGAGGGAAGTAATGAAGTACATTAGAATAAAGGAGAATTATTTATTAGACAAAGCATATTTTGACAGTTGTCAAGACAAAAATAAAGATTAATTAGAGGAATATTTAAAAATAAATAAGACAGGCTATACACCCACAACAATAATAACAATAAAAAAAAAAAAAATAAAAAAAAAAAAATAAATAAATAAAGAAAAAAAAATTATATTATAAACACCAATATGAACGAAGATATACATAACCAGACAAAAACTTATAAAACAAAAAACGGATCACAAAATAAAAAATCTGATAACAACAATGAAAGGCATTTAATAATGGAAAAAAAAAAACATTAATGCTAATGTGTAAACATAATTTTTGTAGTGATTAAGTAATAAACATCTCCTCAGAGTCGCATCTATTATTACTGGCGTTTTGATGAGGATCAGCATTTATAACTAGTTTATCCCGTCAGACAAACGTCATCGCCACTTATGCTTTACCCCGCGACTTACGCCTATTCCATACTGCAGTAAATAATTTTTAACTTCACTTATTAAGTCACTTATTTGTCCTTGTAAGGAATCTCTCTTTTAGACAAAATCTAAAACTGCATTGTGTATAGACCTGCTCAAGCTGCTAAGCTTAAGATTCTGCCCCAACACCATAAGAGATTTTAAGGTACTCTTTCTCTCTTCTACAAATGCTACCATGGTCACTACCCAAGCAAACTATCATCACTTACCCATCAAGCATAAATCAATGTTGCGTGATTTTGTTCTTTTTACTAAATTTTAATGCATTAAAATTCTTTCACATCTTCATATTTTCCTGACTTTTACAATTTACAGTTTTTTAAGCCTTCTGTCAACTATTTTTTTGGTTTTTAACTCTTTTCTTATCTTTGCTGAATATTTTGTTTTGTTGCCTTCACAGAAATTAAAGAAATTTGATGATTAATAAAAACAGAAATTTGATAATGAAAAAAAATTAAAGAAAAAGTTACTTTATGTCTATTTATTTATATTTTATAAGATATATATTTTAATAAGATGAAATAATTTCTTATTGAGAACTCCTTTTTTTCATTAAAAACCATATATTCCCTGAGAATATTTATATCAAAAATTCATCTTTACACTGTATAATGTATGTATTTATAAATAAAAACAATTTTAGGTCAAAAGTGTTTTAGGCGTTAATAAAATTTAGTTATTCTAAAGATAATGTGTTTGGTAGTAATAAAATTAAATTAGCCTGAAGATAATATGTGGTAATGAATTTTTATTAGCCTGAAGATGTGTTAGGTGGTAATAATTTATGTGTTAGATGGTAATAAATTATGTGTTAGGTGGTAACAATTTATGTGTTAGGTGGTAACAAATTATGTGTTAGGTGGTAATAATTTATGTGTTAGGTGGTAATAATTTATTTGTTAGGTGGTAATAAATTACCAAAACCTTTTTATACTTAATTTTTCTAAATAAAATTTTCTAAATCAAAGATAGAATTACAAAACAAAAACAAAAATACAAGTCATAAACTAACGCACAGAAGTTTTTTAACTGACTGGCCAAAAAACAATTGACTGTCAAGTGTATATGATTAAAAACTTTCTTAAATTAAATATTTTATATTGATTGTTGATCCGGGACTTTGAGATCTCTTTATTGATGAAAAGTTTATTTCAAAATGAGAATAAGTACATTTTTGAATATAAACAAGTACATTTCTTCCACCTTTTTTTTTTTATTTTGTGCTGCTTTGTGGTTGGCCTTAAGAACAATAAGTGCAGTCAAGAAGACTACTAATATTTTTAATTGATAAATATAATTGAGCTGGTGAGAATCAAAATGGTCAACATTTCCTCAATTTGATATTTTTAAGGTTTTATTAAATTACTGTAGAAAAAACCCTAATAAAAAAAAAAAAAAAAAAAAGATGCCAGATTCTTTACGTAATCTTACACCTTACACTTAGCAATTGTAAATATTGAATAAACTCAATTTTTGACTTACATAATGTTAATTCTAACCCGCTCAATTATAAATCTCTGAACCCTATAACTATAAAATGTGGCAGGGATGTGATTAAAAACATAGTAGGGATTGAATTTAGTACTTCTCACCGACAAAGCAAGGGCTTTACCACCACACCGCTAGTGCTTGTTTTTGCATGCTGCAGATCTATGCTGCAGCATGAATTTACATCATATTAAAACATTACAATTGGGACCTGAAAAAAAAAGATTCTAAGCTAAACTAAAGATTTTTTGACAATTACCAATTTTGTAATTTTCTTATTATTAAATGCTATCTTTTTTATATTGTTATTTGATGTTTTACAATTATCACTGATACGTTTTACAAAACATATTACAAAACTAATTTAAAAACTTATTAAAATGTTGCATATGTATATAAATATACACACACAAACAAACACAAGCACACACACATATAGCATTTTATAGAAAATAGATTAAAAAAATTAAACAAAAAACCTTCTTCCATGAATTTCTTTATCACACCCATCACAATTAACTACTACTTCCAAAACAGATGAATATCGTGCAATAAATAAATGCATATCAAGCTGTGCTTCAGGAGTAGCAGTAGACAGTACCATTTCATTCCATTTTTTAATTCCCATACCATCAGCTTCTGCTTTAAATTTTTTATGTCTCTCATACATAGCCAGTTCAGCTTTTTCATCATAGTAAATGGTTTTAGGAGGAGATGTCCCTACAATTTCAACAAATTTAAAATCTTCGTTGAATCAAATTATATATATATATATATATATATATATATATATATATATATATATATATTTATATATATATATATATATTTATATATATATATATATATATATATATATATATATATATATATATATATGAGAAAATTTTGAATATGAAAAATATGAACAAATTTAATTAAATTTAATAGTTTTTTTTTTTATTTTAACTATATTACTAAACTCTTTAAAAATTGCACATGTTTACATATTGTTAGAAATACATATATGGTGTCACATGTTGTTATATAATACTAGACATACATAGATTTTAATAAACATACATTTATGAGCATATAAATCTGCATATATACTAGATATATGCAGATTTTAC